GCGACGATCGATTACAGTGCTCTGTCGCGGACAATACCATTCGGGACAGTGCGAATTTCATTCTTTCGTTTCGTACTGCGCGTAGAACCGCCGACAAAAGCTCGGCCAACAGAGTACGATGATGCTTTCACGTATATGCCTTTTTCGTCCTTTCTCTCTCTTCCATTTTCTCTTCCTCTCCTCCTCTGGTTAACGTAAGTCTTGCGTGAATTCACATCGCGAACCTACGTATCTTTTTTTTTTTTTTTGTACGTGGAGAAATCCTCATGGACACTCCGCTGTTGCAATAATTGCGTAACAGCAGAGTAGTAGTGTCGGACTCCTATCGACTAAAACTCCACGATGACCATCCTACGCGTTATGACAGGGGTGCTCCAGGAACCTCTTATGAATTAACTTCTGTTGTACTCCCTTCCCGCGTCCTCTTGTTCTAGCCAGTTCTAATACTTCCTAACTATTGCGTTGACATTTTTTTTTTTTACGTGGAGGAAATCTTCATAGACACCTTACCACCCTTGCGCAGGTGGGCAGAAGATAGTGCCGGATTCTTACCGGCTAAAACTTCCACGGGCGGGACGGTGGACTAGAACGCGAGTTGATCGTCGGGCCCCTGTTGTGCTTAACACCAAGCACCTTTAACCGAGCACTCCCAGAAAGTACATCCACAGCACACGCAAGGGAGGCCTGTTGTATATTACTTTTAAAAGTAACTTTCCGTTCTGTGTTTAGATGGATGGGATTCGAACTCGCAAACGCATCGTCTTCAGTACTGGGCTTTAACGAGCGTAGCTGGCTGTCCCGCCGAACCTACGTATCTAGGAAACTTATTCGAACGCGGTGTTATTGCAACGTGATCATTTCTCATTGTTTCGCCATGTATTCCGATATTACGCTGCAATTTATCGTACGACCGAGCCCCGCGTACCTTGTTAACGAATCGATTTTAATAAAATGTATATCGTTCGAAATAACTTGAACGAATTGCGAGACCATACATTTCCCCAGCCGGCCGAGTAACAATCGGATAATCCGTAACGTTGCTTAATCCTTTGTGAATTAAATGAATATTTCTGGTAATGGTTTTAATGTTTTTCCATGTTTTGAGAAATCTCGTTTGCAATTTTTATGGTTGGAAAAAATCAAAAATTGCCTGCTCGTCGTGATTTACTGAGATTAGACGCGAAGGACAGAATTCTTTCTTCTTTTTTTTTTTTTTTTTTTTTTTTTTTTTGGAGCTGGATTACTCTTGCGCTTTTACTTGTTTCTACGTCATTTTGAATCTTGAGCCTCATGCGTGGTGAAAGGACGGCTATATTTTTCAGGTTGCTCGAGCTGTAGACGACCGTCATTTCGGATAATAGGTTCGGAGGGAAAAAATTTGACGACGGTCTGGTTAGCTTAAGTTTAGCGATACATTAAACGAATCATGAAACTTTTTAAGAATTTGGCGGAATACGTTCGTATCGTAATCAGATTTTACCTGTCGGAATAGTTAATTGCGAAAGGTCGCGCCACAATTTTTGTTGCATGAAATTTCATCGAATAAATTTCATGAAAAACGATAAATTTATCATATTTATTTATATATATTTATCGTATAAAATTAATTGTTATATATTTTGCACGTTTGAATAAGTAATAACGATTGGTAGGAGTGACCGATTATCGTACGTGATTCTGGGTTCCCTCGTCGACGAATACTTGTAAATGAAATTTCATGCGTACACGTACACGCACCGGGACGTGATCAAAATGTCTAACATATAGGCGAGCGTTTATCCGAAAATTGACGATACTGCTAGCTGACATATCTTAACATCCTACGTTATACATTATATCACCTTTATGTACAAGTTCATAAAATTCCAACATCAAGTTTTATACTTTTCGATTAACCTTCATCGCTGGAACTTCCAACTTGATGGTGATTAAAAAAAAAAAAAAAAAAAATAAAGAAAAGAAAGAAAACCCTAGCAGAAACTCATGAATATTCTCTATCATACTCATTCCGTTCCATGGTCGAATTCAGAACGACCTCGAATTTCTCCGAATTTCCAGCGGATTTTTCTAGTCGCGTACCGAATCGAGTAAATTAAGTCTCCCGTAATTATTTCAAGCGATTTTCCGGGAGCACGTGAATGAAGTTAATCAGAGCTATTTCAGAAAAAGGAGAGAGAGAGGGAGATAAAGAAAGAGAGAAATTCGGAATGGAAAACAGACAGATTTTCAAGCCGTTTTTATTTCTTTGCTACTATGCTATGGCGGCGAGTTGTAAGCCGTGCTTTTCCTCTAGTTCGGTAACCGTTGACTAATGGTCCATCATCGTTCATCGTTGTTCAGTTGGACGACCAACGTCCGTTACTGTCTTACGCCCGTACTATCCGGACAATGTGACTTTATTCTTACCGGTGATCCGCGTCTATAACCATAACGTGCATCCGAATCGAACAATACCTTTTACTCATCCGCGCGGCAATAATTTAGACGCCGTACGGCGATACGTTTCGCGAAGGACCGGATCAAAAAATATATAGATCCGGTGCGAGCCGAGGGCTGCAAGCATTGTTCGTGATCCAGAGAATTTACTGCGGCGCCGCGATTTCGAGGAGGTGCTTGGCGCAAGAAACTGTTTCGCGTTCATTACTGCGATACGTTTTCACCGAGGACCGAGATTGAACGACTTTTGCCAGACGCGAAGCACCTTCGAATTTTTTATTAACTCCAGAACGATTCCCCAGTGAAGTTTTACGTCTGGCAAGCTATTACCCCGAAGTTTGTATCGGTGAACGAATTTATGATATCTACGAAACGAGAAAAAAGGTGAAGCGTTCCTTCGACATTTTTACGTACTAGACCGATGTAGGTTTTCGTGCAATTAAGATTCGATGGTTTTAAAAAGCATCATTTCTTCGGTACACTTTCGAACGTAACCGATAAATTTCGATCGAGAAACTTTTCCCTTCTTTCTTTTTTCATTTTTTCATCATGGCGCGAGAAGGGTACGAAATGAAGCATTAAGTTATCCGAAACAACATCGCTCGACTTACCGTGTACATTTTTTACCGAAAGGTAACCTCGGGGAAGAAATAGGATCATTATTTCTTCTTTATTAGCAATCATTCTCGGTGGATCCGCCACCTGACATCCTTGACAAGGGGACGTATATCAAAGACGAAAATATGTTCGTCTCTCACCCGGGGCATCGTTAGACAGGCTTAATACGCTAGTAAAACATCCGGACGGCATCACACGGTGTTGGTCCATATTAAATTCTTAGCGGGTACAGCGTGTCGGTCTTGATGTCCTTCATTAATCAATGCATTGTGCCCGGACCCAGTAACTGGGATCCAAATGTTTCGACACTGGACCTTTCCCACTCTCTGTGCTCTTCCTTCTTTCTTTTCCTTTTTTAGTCTTCGACTCGGTTGGCCCACCGGTTTGACCATTGTGTACAATTGCGCCAACAAGCCTTCAGCTATGGTCTCGTACGCACCAGCTTGGTATATTATCGCCTCTTTGCATTCTAACTTATGGACTTCTATTATATGTAAAGTAGAACGTGTCAGGTCAGTCTTACTGGTTCGTCCTCCTATTTGTTTAACCCCTTCGAATATGTAACATTCTGACGAACACTAGGGGAAATTTACGGGAATGGTTTAGATGTAATGTGATGTCTGGTGATTAGAAACAGGTGTCAAAGCGACCATTGCAGTATCAGCTTTCCCGATTTTGAGGGGAAGGGTTGAACGAGTGTCTACAACGAAAGGTTGCGACCGGTCCGGTTCCGATTTGGGTGAAACTCTATAGGCTCGAAGAACAGTAAAAAATATTATATAGGTATTCTTTTTACTTTGGTAACATAAATTTAAGAGACAAAAATCTGAAAAAAATTCTGTTATCTAAAATTACAATAAATGGTCTCTAACGCGTTTGGGAAAAATGCCGGAGACAAAAAAGAAATTTTGAAAAATATAGAAAACTGTTACATCGAACATATTTACGATCTTTCGTTTTTATTAGATGCGTGATGTGTTTGTTTGTCCTTTGTCATTGCCTTTATTAAGTAAGATCGCGTTGGAAAGGATTTTCAATGTTAATTTCTTGTTGTAAATCATCGTTGTAAGAAATGTTATTTAAGATAATATAAATATTATAAAAGTACAGAATTTTATATCATATCTATAATAATAGTTTATAATCCGATAATCACATTCTGCTTTAATCCTAAGTTTTAATCTTGTTTTAGACTGAATCGATAAAGTCGCATGTGACATAAAATTGGTAACGTCAGCTGACCCTCGAAAATGCGACCGGAGGAAGAATTGCATGTCAGATCCAACCTACGTTTCTGTGCTGATATTCATCTACTGCAAGTGCATGCATATAGTTAACGAATGTATTTTTCAGATTTCATTATAAAATATGAAAGACTTGAGTGCACCGAAATATGGTAATATTTTTTTATACAAGTTTTATGAACAACTTTTTTTAGGCTAAGTAATTACACATAAACGACGATTAAGAATAACATTCCCTTTCATTTCAAGACAGAATAATTTGTTCATTGTTTTTCTGTTAATGCTAATATTTTTTAATTATTGAAATATTATTATCTCTACAACGTTCTTTACTTTATATTAATAGCAACTTGAGTAATTAAGTATTATACTATAGTAGTCGTGTTGATATAATAGTATTAGTGGTAATAGTATTAACGATATTTGTGGTATAAACCAACCATATGAGTAAAACAGTGATATAAATTCTTGTATAATAGATAACTAAAAAGTTCCATCAAAAATATAATTTTATAATAGAAACCATCAACATTTTAATTATATTTGTAGAACTAACATTCGTAACGTTTAATTATATGTCTATTCATTAATGATTATTATTTGACCGAATAAAATTAATTTCTAACGTATCCATGTTGCAGTTTCACTCTTCCTTTGTGTGAGATATGATATGTCTATGAAAACATTTCTTACAATACACGATTTTTCGGAGATATCGCCGATGTGTAATTGAATACGCCCGACTTCACGCCGAACTAACTATCCCCACCAATGCGAAATTTGAAGGTGAAACGCGGCGCGGGGTGTTATTCGGCAGTCAGGAATCGAAGATTATGGTGTCAAGACGTATTAATCTGTGCATGGCTCGTTAACTGCGTAATATTCCTATTGCTATTTTGCCTATTTTATACATAACTACAATTAACAACTATTAGGTTTGTTTTGATTGTATACTTGGTTACTTCAGTTTTCGATAGCTTGTATTGCCTGAGAGAGATGTTGAATTCGATTATCGTTTTAATTTACTGTAACTGATTTTAGTTATATGCGTATATGTTTTCAATTGTTGGTTTTCTTTTACGTAGATTATTGGTTAATGGCGGTACAAACATCGATGCAATAGGAATTCAAAATATGGGCGCCATGATGATTAGCAGTCTTTTCGATGGCTTTTCATTGGTGTTTCGGTAATTTCTTTTATATTATTGGTACATATTTGATACCTTAAGTCGTAACTCGTGGAGAATTACTACACGTAATAATTAGCATTTTGCTGCACTTCCCGCGCAAATTCTCTGTAGTAGCGCCATCTTGTTTATTCATTATTACACGTTCAGCTTTTCGTGTAACATTATCGTGTTCTTGAAGCAAGTTTAACCGAAGAATTTTGATTTGTTGCAAGTATTTTTTAATATTTATACAACCTGATATATCTATTATTGGATATATATATATATTCCAAACTGCTCTAACAAATAATCGTGACATAATTTGTTAAATCATTTATATACAGTATTTTTAAATATTTAACGCTACTCAGGGATATTTGATATTCGCAAATAATATCTTATATTTATTCGTATCAGTATTAAATATGTATTCCGCTCTCGTAGTATTGATTTATGACACTTTGAAAGATAGACAACAACGAGTTGTCTCGATAGCTTTATAAAAACTATATATGTAATGTTTTTGTACACAAACGCTCGTTTAGAGGTGTCTCCCTCTCCCTCTCTTTCTCTCTTCTACTAACGTCCTTTTACTTTCAGGCAATGTTTGGGATCGCGTGCAATGCGGTTGATAGAGTCGGTGTATGCTGCGTAATAGTGTTTTCAATATTCTGCAAAGTGTTTTTTAAGCTTTTATTAAAACTTATCTACGTAATTATAGTAGTCATACGCGGAATTAGAGTCAGTGCTTGTTCATCGAATCACTTAAACGAGCGCGTTACTAGTATTTTATTTTTCTCTTTTTACGTATACGTACATTTTTTTTTAAATATCTGTTTTCGGTATTAGAGTCAGTGCTCAAGAGGATTCAGTCTGTCCAGGAGTTCAAGAATGTAAGTATTTTTGCATATTCTACTGCAATTTATTTTATCTTTTGTATTTTGCTTGAATTATTATTATTATTTGTCGAAACGAAATTTTGAAGTTTCAATATTGAATCATAATATACATAGTTCCAAGATCAATAAAGTTCATTAATTATGTAAGATGTTGCATACATTTAACACTGTGTCTTTTAGGGAACAAATTATAATATGTCACATTTTGTTAAAGGTTTCTCATAACCTCCACTTTCTCCTGTTCTCTGGAGAGGATTCAATGATGCTTCAGAAGCCAGGAATGTAAGTACATATTTTCATAGCATATTTATTAGAACTTGAATCTTCTTTATTATTATTATTAATCAACACTGTTATAAATTCTTGAAGAGTAACGTTAGAATCTGCCGCACTTTATTTAATTTGAAGTTGAACTGACGTTAACATGTAATTAATTTTTTAGTGTTGCGATACGTGGCAATCGGGAATAATTCAAGTAGTTCTTTTCGTTCAGAAAGAAATAGTGATATTTATTAACTTCATTTTAAGAATTGCTGTTATGCAGGATCTTTTTCATCTAAGTAGATTTACGGTTAGATAGGCTATCTTTAAGTTAAGTTAGATCTATGATTAGGCAAGCTGTATTTTAATGTTTTGTCACGTAAGACAAGATAGTTTAATATCTCGTGAAGTAGGAAATATTGGTTTCCTATATCATAGAAAAATTGATTGATTCTTTCCTAGCACTATTAACGAGTTACATTAATATACTAACAAGCCTACATTAGTATTAAATGTATGCATAATTAGCGATAATATTCAAATTAATTAAATAATTCAAAGCAAATAGGTGGAAAATAAATAGTTGATTAATTAATAATAGATGATTGCGTAAAATTTCATAATCCCATTTAAATTTCAATCTTATAGGATTATTTTTGTTATAAAGTTGTTGATCATATCGTGTGACTCACTGTGTGTCAGACCTATGTTGTACCTGCTCTGTAGTATGCAGCACATGTTTGACACGATCTTGGCAGATGTCGTTAGTAGTTCTTCTTGGTGCAATCCTTTGATAAATACAAGCTCGAGATAAATACAATATCTTACAGACCCAAGGGCTTAATGTCAAATAGATTGACTTTTAATTGAAAAATATATACCGCCGTGTTTTATCGCTTTTCGAGCATCAATCTTTCGAGATCAGTTTTTGCGGGCTCGTTAATGGCGAATTCTCGCAATTCAACGGTACGTCGATGAACGTTAAAGCAGGGGATTTGTTATCCGCTTGCCCCGGTGTTTCTAAATGTGCAGAGAAGGTAGCCGTTTCAGGCCTAGGTGTACATGGAGTGCGCGTACGAGACACGCCAACTGACCATTATGCAGATTTCTAATGATTAGATATATCGGTCGTTTGCCAGAGTGAAATGAATGTAATATACCTTTGTAGAATCCGTTCTGCTCCCTTTCGTCCTTTCAGCATTGCTTCTTCCTTAATTTGTTATCTCGAACTAACGACTCCTTGTCTGTGAAAGAAAGACTTCAGGAGTAAAAGGCAGAAAGAAAAAGGAAGGAAATCTGAAAAGAAAGCGAACGAACTCTGACGTGGCTTCGAAGAAAAGCGATCAGCTCGTGAAATAGGTTTTCCCGAACTTCTATGGACCGCCG